CAGTTTGGGTGCCTTTGCCACCATTAATCATCTTCACTTCCAGGTAAATGGTTGAAACCATTTTCAATGATGGTGATGCTGTAGATAGCTCCAAGGAGGCTTTTTTGGCTGATTAATTCCTAATCTTTAACAGGCATATTATCTGTCCGTGACTTTCCCAATTGAGAAAGCACCAACTCGCAGAATAATGACCAGGAAGGGATTGCAGGGTGCTGATTTGGTGGTCTCTGAGCTATTGGATTATCCTGTTCGAGGTCTTGTATTTGAGGGTGGATGTGTACTGCGTGACTTATCTGATGCTGTTGCAAGTTCATGCATTTACCTCCAACAGAATAACATTCCTTTTAATGTTCTAATTGCTGATTGTGGGAGGAAAATCTTTTTGCTCCCTCAGGTAAATTTGTCTACTCTCTAATGATTCGGTTGGCCATTTGACATAAATTGGCTTAATGTACTTGGCAGTTGTCATGGTTTTTATTTTTATGATTTATATTCTGTCTATATCACAGTACAAGGGTGTCTTTTAATAAATGCAGACTGAGTAAGTGAAAAAATTAGTATGCCTGTCCATTGCACTTAGGCCAATGTAAAGCCTTACTTAAACATTAACTTTGGGTATGTTTAAGAGAATTGATTTGGTACCTTACGTTGTAATACATGTGTACATTTGTTTTGAAAGAACTTTAGGCACAACCAAAATTTGTTGCCTTCCCAATTTTACCTCAAATGAAAAGTCTCTATGCCTAGAAGGAGACCCCTCTTGGAACAGTCTTAGGTAATAATTGACTCTGGTTATTTGATGGGTTTGAAATTTTGTTAAAACTCATTTTCGAAGAATCTTCTCTGCACTGATGAATAGTTCTTGGATATTGTGACACAAAATAGTGATTGCGGCTAGTCTCTGTTCTAATTTGAGTAGTAAATACATGGGAGTTGTGCGGGAGGTGAATCTTCAATAAGTTCTTTGCCTAGAGTTGTTAGTATTGTTTGAAACACTAGTCTCTGCTTGGAGCCTAACTTGAGCTTTGTCTTTCCCTGGATGAATATGTACAGTGTTATGCAGAGAAACAAGCACTTGGAGAAGTAAGCCTCGAGGTCCTGGAAACCCAAGTCAATCCTGCTGTTTGGGAGATAAGTGGACATATGGTACTCAAGAGGAGAAAGGATTACGATGATGCCTCAGAGGACTATGCATGGAAACTTCTTTCTGAAGTGTCCCTGTCAGGGGTGAGGTTTGAAAGTGTGAAGGCATGTGTTTCCAAAGCAACTGGCTTGCAGGTGGAAGTGGATACGTACAACATCGACCAGAAAGAATGTATCTATGACTCTGAAGCACCTCAAGTTGCCTCACATATGCAACGAGATTGCCCGGCAATCCATTGAAGGATCAGGCTATTCTTCTGAGAATTTAGGTTTTTTTTAATGTTTATCTCCATTCTTTAGCGTTTATGGGTTGTAGTATGAGATTCAGCAGGTCATTGTGAAGAACAGTTACATATAGTCATAGACAAAAATCTTGTTTCTCTAGAGGATGGATCTTATTATATGATCTGCATATCCCTTGTTTTGATATATCTACTCTATAGCTTGCTGATTGACGCTCATTCAGGCTTAGAGATTGCCCGAGTTGATACCATGGCTTCCATTAGCTGTTTAGCAGGTTAATGAGATGTATATATATATATATATATATATATATATATATATATATATATATATTTGTGAATTGTACAGTGCTTCGAGTTTAAGCAGGCTATACTGTACAGGTATATTGTCTAATTTCAGCCTTCTAGATTTAGCAGATGAACTCTAGGAAGCAAACATGAATTGAACGAACACTACAAAGTGGCATGTATCCAGAGAGCTCCATCAAACGTCTCGAGTAGTCAGTCCACATCAAACTTCTGTCGGTCAGAGTAAGCCACATTGGGAAGTGGGTGATGAGAAACATTAGAATGCAGGACAGCAGGACCCTGAAAGTTTACGAGGCTTGCAAATGGTGGATGCCAACAGTGGAGTGGAGATGGTTAAATTTGGTTGGACTTAAAATGTAGCCACTAGAGCTCAAAACCAAAAGCGGATCGCAGAACTAAGAGGAGGGAGGTGTCAACTAGTAGTGCTTTTGCTAAGAGACGAAAGACAACAACTTGACACTTTTGACTGGGAAGAAATGGTCCAGGCCACTTGGTAAGAGTGATGTGAGGACGAGACTCGAAAGCGCAATTGAATCAGCCAACCCAGATTGCTGCATATTTCTATAGGTTAACCGACATCGTCACCCGCAATTTTGGCACACTTTAGCTAAGACCATGATGAGGAGTAGGGTCGTTGCTCCTTCGGCCTTCTTTTGTGTATATCATTATCCTCTTGCGTTGCTGTACAAGTGTGGAGATTTGTTAATAGGGTAAAATTTGACCTAAACTGTGAGAAAAACACCACCTCAACCATTCACAGACTTTTACCTATCGTTTCGGCAAAAAAAAAAAAACCATTCACAGATTTTTACAGCGCAAACACTTGATTAGCAGCTTTTTCAGAAAGCTCAGGTTCACTCACTCGATTATTGATTTGTTACTTGTTAGTATGCGGATAACTTTGCAAACTTTTCATTTGTCTAATCCTAGTTCCACCAAACTGAAATGGTTTGGTAAAATTTGGCTGATAATGGATTTCCATTTAGGTTGTGCGTGCGTTGCCGCCTGATGAGGTTTGCACCATAAAGTCGCGAACGAAAACCTGGTCACGCGACTTCATTTGCACTCTCTTTGAACTTGGATGCGCATTGAGTAGCGTTTCCGGCAGGGCATGCTTTCTTTTCTTTACTGCCTCTCGTGGGTCTATTGTTCTTCTAGAAGACTAGGACTCCGCCCTCCTGAAGGATGACAGCAGCCACAGGCTCGCAAAAATCCAATTCCAAGATCGAGAAATGGCAGGATTACCATTCAGATTTCTTGAAGGCTAATCTCAGCATACTACCGCAAGAAGTGGAAGGCTGTCTCGGGAGTTATTTGGTCACGCTGTTGGAACTTGGGATCTTTCAGTCTTCCTCTGTTGTCATCGTTCAAGTTTGAAAATTCGTGATGGGGAAATTAATCTTTATTTTATCAATATCTCAAAACCACCAAAACAGAAATGATTGGCATGTACTTGAATTTAAGAGCATTGTCAGACTCATTTTCCAAAAAAAAAAAAAAGAGCATTGGTAAATTTGATTGTATGTTACCATAGTTATCATGCTCAACGCTGACATGATAATCTTGGGCACAATTATATGATATAGATAGAGCATATAATATCATTTGAAATAATTCTTGGTAAAAAAAGATGGTTAGAAAGACAAAAAAACTGTGATCGAAAAATTGCGTTTGCGATTAAAAAGTAATATTTGAAAGACAAAAATGTTAGACACTTTTTTGTTTTACTGGTAGGAGAAATTTATGCCTTGTTTGGATTGTCATTTTCCATCGAAAAATTACGTCGTTTTCCGTGATCACATTTTTCGATTACCTTTTTCCCTCACATACATTAAATCGTTACAGTAAAATGCAATCCAAACGAAGCCTTAGTACCACATGCGATATACATCACCCTCTTGTTTTCCCACCAGGAGCATATTAGTCAATATCCAATTCTCACGCAACATAAACACATCTGGCATCGGGATTTATAGACCCACACACGCAAAGATAAACCCGGAAAAGAAAAAAAAGAAGATCAACATGCGGATTCTCATCAAGCATAAAGGAAGGCCAGCTAAGAGCATTCCTCACCACGCAACGCACTATCAGGTTCAAGCGTGATCAACTTAAAAAAGGCAACATGGGAAGATGAATGCCCAGAAAACTTTTCAATTGATGCAGCACTCACTCCTTAGTTGCAAATAGCACAACATGCATTTCTATTCTGGTTGCAAAGGGCAGATATGAATCAGTTCACTGGATTGCAATCATGAGGACTTTGTAGGCTGAGTAACGAAATGTCGAAGGACTTTGATCCTCCTTCCGCAAGTGAAAAAATCTAAATACAGGCGAGCTTGAATTATAAGGATTGATCTCTTGAATAATTCTAAATGCAACTAAAAATCAATTAAGATCATAAACGAAGCACAATTAGCAGCTGAACAAAATTATACTATTATTACTGCAGGCAGGATTTGTTTTATGCGAGAGCAACGAGTACACGTAGCTTGAAATCCAAAACAAGCATTGGAGTAGTTCACAAGTTGAATTTTCAATTTTAAAATATTTTTCTATCCTATAACAAATGTTTTTCAAATCACAAGTTGAAGATTTATCGATGTTGAAGTTGAAAGCTGCAAGTGAAAAGGAAGAAAAACGCGTGTATGGATTAATACACTCGCACACAGCACAACCTCCTCCTCCTCCTCCTCCGTGTGGAGCATGGCATCGATTGGTACTGCTCTACATGAAGTCTTCGTGAAGTGAACCACACACATAGTTTTCTTGTCGCAATTGATCTGTCTCGCACTCTGTATCACATTCTATCTCATTTTTTATTATATTATTATTTTTTTTATATAAATATCATGTTTTAACTCTTTTTTATTTTCTTAAAATTTAATAACTATTAATTAAATAATACATAAAATTTAACAAACTCAAAAAATCAAAATACATAAAAAATAAAATTTTTATGAATTTTTTGCTATACTTTTTAATTTTTTATTATATATTAATTTTTTGAAACTGTTGTATTTATTTTTCATTGAATTAATAATTATTAGATTTTAAGAAAATAAAAAAGAATTAAAATATAATATTTATGTAAAAAAAATAATAATATAATAAAAAATATGACAGAAAATGCTACCGAGTGTAAAACAGAAGATCGATTGCACTTTCTTGTGCCCTACACTTTTGGCCTCCACAGTCCACACCACTCGACAATAATTAAATCAACAACAGCACAACTTATCGCAAGCCAACCAAATATTTGCAGTAATTGTCAAAGATGATAATAATTCCACCGCCATTATTGCTGCTTCCACGTTCAAATACTAACTAAAAACCATTACTCTATATTGCTTCAGTGGTTAAACAGCAATCAACAGCACTGGATTTCTCAATTTTCCCTCCCAAAATAACAACAAAAAAGAAAAAAAAAAAAAACGAAAACGAAAGCAATATTAAAAGGAGAATCTACGGGAGAGAAGATCAAAGGATAAAAATGATTAGGGCGAAGTGATTTAAGATCCTAAATCTGCAGTTAATCATGAAGATGCTAGTATTAGTTAATCAAGTACTCCCTCCCATCATCTTCTTAAACTCGTCAAAGTTAACGCAGCCGTCGCCGTCCACATCAACGGATCTGATCATCTTACGGCAATCACTGAGCGAGCACTTCTCACCGAGACTTTTGAGGACCGAATGCAACTCGTTCGCCGAGATCTTCCCGTTCTTGTCCTTATCGTACAAGTCGAAGGCGTCGCGAAGTTCCTTGTTGTTAGCGGTCTGGTTCACGCCAGCGAAGTACACCTCGAACTCCTTCAAGTCGATGAAACCGTCGCCGTCGGTATCGATCTCCTCCATTATTCGTTTAACTTCGTCAGGCGACGTTTTCGAACCTAGCATGTTCAAAATGTTGCCTAAATCGGACGACGAGATTTTGCCATCGCCATTAGTGTCGAACTTGTTGAACATCTCCTTAACTTCGTTCACCTGTTCTCTCCCCATGCTTTTTTTGTTTTCCTTGGTGGAACCGCTCAACTTTTCCGGTTCCGCCATTAACGACTTCTTCTCTCTCAAATAAAACAGCAGTAGCAGCTATAAAGCGCAAATAAAAGCAGCAGTAGTAGTAGCAGTAGAAACAAGTAAGCCGACACTTCTTCCCTCCCAGGAACAGGTTCCCCGGGGAGCATTTATAGGGAGGGAAATGGGGTTAACGCGCTAAAAGGACCAAGACGCGTGATTAGCTGCGCTGCGCCTTTTGTTGTGGTTGCCCGTCGTACGACTTACCTTTGCCGCTGTCTCTTAAGATGAAAATAGAATTCTAATTTTCGAGCAGAAATAAATTTTTTATTGACAAATCAACCAGCAAAAATACGTAAATTTACTAGTTTAGGAAGATATTTCGAAGGAAAAGGAAAACTTTGTCCTGCCTATTTTTAATTGATGCCCACAATGTTTTGGGGCTTCGATTTTGTGGTTTTCTAAAAACCCTAGTTTGTTTGGATTGTGTTTTATTTGGAATATTTTTACTGTAGCACTTTTTGTGATGTGATGTGTGTGAGATAAAAAGATAATTGAGAAGATAAAAAGGTGTATTGAAAATTGTAATGATGATGTAAGCAGATAAAATTGGGGAAGTAAAACACAATCCAAACAAACCTTTATTTTCTCCACCAAGTTGCGTTGATCAAAAGGGCAGTAAATTAGTAACTCGTAATGCAATGGGGGGGAGAAATGGATTGAATGGTACGGGAGTCAGAAAAGATAAATAAGATGTTCTGAATTTAACATTTTCCACTTAAGCTAAAAGAAAAAAAAAATAGTAACGCAATAAGTTCAAAAATATATAGAAGCAACAAGTTCCTTTGATTATGGAAGAAATTAACATGCTAAGTAAGTATATGTGCTCAAAGATTGGCTTAATTATTATATGAAACTGAGCTCCTGTAGACATTTTTTTTAAGGCTCTCCTGCATGATTTGATTTCTATCCCCAATATTTTTGCAATTTCAAACATAACTTCATAAGAAATTTAAGAAAGTTTTCCCTTTAATTTTTGGCACAAAGCCGTAGTAATGACAAAAAAAGGTAAGAAAGTTGCGAGCTTGATTCAATTAGTTCAAAAACTAAATTAAGTTAATATGGTTGTTTCTTTTTTTAATTTATATTAACTTTAACATCTTCACACAATTACATTTGTTATATTCTTACATTTACAGTCACGCTGGTTGTTTATTCAACCTTTACTATAGGAAAAACAAATGAAGAAAGGAAACGTGGAAGTAAATCACGGAGTTCTTAAAAGGGGCAGAGGTGGAAGCAAGGCGGAAAGGCGGTGACATTGTGGCCGTTGATGATTGCGATTGATACCTGTCGTGGCGTGAATACGGTTAATGACCTTTGGGCGTTAGAAAGCAGCATATATAAAAGAAATATAAGCGAGTCAGGAACACGCCTTCTTGCAGAATGAACTTCACGTGGATGCAAATTATTACCATTAGCATTTAATTAGCTAGAGGACATACTCCTCCCACAGCTTCGCATGATGACCAGTTTCATTTGCCAGATACAGACAGAAAGGTTCGAGAATATTTAATTCCTGTTTGGATCTTCATTGTTTCATGATCATATTTCATTAATTATTTTAAATTCAATGATCAATAGCTTCGATTACGTGCCAACTACAATATTTTTGGATCTAAATATATGATTATATATTTAAATATATGATTATATATCTAAATATATAATACTAATACTTTATACTTATGAGTTATGTATCAAAATATATTAATATATATGAGAAATATTAAATATAAAAAAATTATGTCAAAAGATTTAAAAGGACAAATCTTACTATGAGCAAATTGAGGATATTTGAAGAAGATGTATCAACTGTTGTTGATCGTGTTTTTTGATTACTATTTTTCATATGCTTTCAACTAATTGGATATATCATTATTAAAAAATTCTTAACTTACGTAAAGTTACTGGTTCTAAATTAGCTTTAGAACTTAGTAGTCATAGTAATTATATTAAAGAAATTAAGAAATAATAAATAAATTTGAATTAAACCTGATTTAGATCCACAGTATTTTATAAGTTACCTTTATCAATCTAAAACTCATAACCCGAAACCTAAAAGCGGTGATAACCACTGTCTGAATTTGAAGGTGACCCGATTCTTCCTTGACTCGGATTTAGGCTTCCGCGAGACACCTACTCTATCTTTTCTGTCGTTTGGCAAGACTGATACTCTTTTTTAACTTATTTGTCGATTTGCCAAAAAGAAGGGCATTTCAAGAGAATAATGATGCGGTCACTACAGCGGGAACCACTCCTGTAACCCAAGTCAATTCGCGAGGAAGAATGTAGTGGCGACTTTGGCTGTTCTTTCGACCGTCTTGTGAATAATCAAATTACATGCGTAAATCTTCTTCCCGTTTCAATATCTGAAGACGTTAAATCCTCATCCATTTCCCGCTCCACTAACGTTTGCTCGACAGGATAATATGTGCGGTGAAGTTCTCCAACATCATCGCCTCGCCAGAAAGCTTCTTCCATTCGTTAGGTCCCACGCGATAAACCAACGAGAGCAGAAACCCTGTTCTCAAACCAGACCAACTAACAAGCAGAAAAATGGAGCGAAGATACAAACATACCACCGACACCATCACCACCGGCGCCATCTCTGAATGTGGCATGGTAAACGGCGGGTCTGGCCAGCCCAGCTGCTGCTTCAAGAGACATATATCAAACCGGTACCTGAAATGTGATCACAGAGAAGCATGCATGAGAATGCAAAGAGGGTACAACAAACAGCAGAGATTGAAGCATTCATCCAAACAGGCACAAAATTCCTTGGAACAAAACACAATAAGACAGTCCTGCTCTTTTCACATTGCAATCACTAATGAATGGTCAGCTAATCCAACAATGCTAGAGGAATTAGGATGATTGGAGCAGAACAGACCCACCATCCAAAACACCGTAAGCACATGGTGATCCCGATCCAACTGAAACTACAGTTCCTGTTAGCCATCCGCATTCACTGTCCGCATAGTATAGGCCTGGACCTTGCAAGGAACAACCAATTACTTACAATAAGACGTAGAATTCAGGATAAAACTATGCAAAGAGTCCTTATGACAGTGCCTTTGTGTCCCCGTCCAGCGATCATTGTTCCAACAGACGATCCCTTGCCATGGCAGGAATACAACTGACTAGCAACTTCAATGCCCCGGCGACAGATATCGTTCTCCTATTTGCAGGCTCATGCAGACAGGCACTGAAATTTGCAAGTCTAGTCAATGATCTTCCAACGGCTAGATTGTCCATGACAATACAAGAACGAAAGTCAAACTAGTACAAACCGGGGAGCACCTTAATTCCCAGGTTCCTGTGCCAGAACTGGCAGTCAGCATCACCTCCAGCCATAGTGTCAACCATGTATGGATTGATTTCAATGATTTTCCCGACAGATTGTGATGGTCTAAACCAGTATGTCACTGAGATGTATTTCGTGATTCAGTAACCATAAGAGACAGGATAATTACAATACAACATTAAGAATCATGTCATCGAACGTCTTTGATTTCGGTAAAGTAATCTGATTCTTATCTCAGCCTCTCTTTTGTGGTATAGGCAAGTGGATATGCCAATTTGCAGAAACAGCACGAGTCACGTTAGGCAGAAATTGACGGCAACAGCTACTTCAAATAGATATATGGTAAACATGCATGTGACGGCCGGATGATAAGAGACCTTCAAGTTGGAGTTTATAACCATGCTAATATGGTCTCAGGACACAAGTTTGGCCCCAAAACATACATACTTCATATTCCCCCGTTTCTTCGCACCCCATCCCCAACCGTTTCTGGGGTGGGATCTCTTTTTCCTTTAGTTAAGCCGCGAACAACAGCCGAAGGAGCAAAATTTCTAGAACATTGAATGTTTACAGAACACTAAGGGTATGAGGTAATTCTATAAGTAACTACTACAAACATTGGGTCAGCCGAGATACTACATGGAGAAACACAGCAAGCATTTTAGAATCAAACTCAAGACTACTAACGTATGAAAGTTCACAAAATTCTGGTTTTAAAACAAAAATCAACTGGATGTCATCTCAAACAAGTAGCAATATTAAGTCGCATCTGCATTGAAGACGTACAGTTGCACATTGGCATCAGATAGACTAATCAATAACTTGTAACGTTAATTCAACGCAACAAATTCATTTACTACATCTGCATTGATGCCCCTGGCCAACCCCCCCCGACCAACCCCGGGGGGGGGGGGGAAATTAGAAAAAAAAAAGGGAAAAAAAATGATCAATGACTGGTGCGTGGCAACTACTGGCTTGGTTCAATGGCCATTAGGGAGGGACTCAAGTCCCTTCTTGGAACGTGGGTGGCGGTTCAAATTCTACCTGCAGTAAAAAAAATTCAAGAGTGATGCTATAACGTCCTCTTGATCTAATCAAATCTGCATATCTACTAGTCCCTAACACACAAGCCTCCTTGAGCTCCTCCTCCTCTGTAGATTAGTATAAAATGGGTTATACAATTATAACTGTTATCATTGCCCCAAAAAAAAAAAAAAAGACTGGTGCGTGGCTATTTGGAAGCATTATTCAACAATTGCTTCCCATTCATACAATACAGACATAACGGAACAGAGAAAAAAACATAAACCTTTCTCTAATATTTGAAAAGGTAACATGTAATGTGCACAAATCAATCATAATTACGATCATAACTCAGCATGGAAATACTAGTACAAGCATACATAGACAGATATCTACCCATCCTAGCACCTTAACATGAAAGCCAGAGTGGTAGTTCCCTTTGCAGGCTTTATCAGTTGTATTGTTTCCTTTTGAAACCCATTAAATTCCAAAGCCTTTTGAAACCCATTAAATTCCAAAGCATTTAACAAGAAAATCTCTAACTTTCAATGAAAATAAAGAGGTAGTAATTCGTCAAACAAGAAGTAGAAAAAAAGTTCAAACTCACATCGTCAGTGCTAGGAATTTAGGAATTCTGGAGCGGTAGAAAGCCCAGTGAGAAATCCACCAGTATTACCCCGCAACGTAGCAATCTTCATATTGTTACCTTTGACAGGATAAATCGATCAACATAATCTTGAGGCCAATTTTTTCTATTCTTTTTTTTTAAAGTGCCTTAGCTTGTATATATATAAATATATATTAAATATCCAACTGCTTTGGTTATTTGTGAAGGAGCTGGAGAAGATTGGTTCCACGCTATGGACTTGCGGGACGAGGATTGGAAGATGACCGGAACAGGAGAAGAAACGGGAGCTGGAAGTTGGGCTTATCAGAAGTTTAGAACCAAGCTTGTATTACAGGCGTGATAATATAGACAGTAAAGAGGTGTGGTGACTTTCAGGCTTCGGGCTATCACCAATGGTAGACCAATCCTGAAGAATTGGACTTGGGCTAACTCTAAGTCTCCTTTGTAAAGATCTCAATCTGGGATCCTGCTTTCAGTGTGACCCGCTAGAAGAAATGTCGGTGATGGTTGTTTTTTTTTTTTGGGTAAAAAACGAAAAAACCCCCTTTTGGTAAGCCTAATACACAGAAAAGCCCCCTATGGTTTCAAAATATACACCTCATGCTTTGAACTAAATTATAAAGGTGACGGAATCCGTTAAATTTAACGGAAATGACTTATTGGAACCTAAAAAAAATTGTATACCTAATTTTTATCAAATATACCTATTCTACCCCTTAACCCTCAATTCTCTCTATTTAAAGAATGAAACAAATGATTTTTTTGAACTGTCTTTTGCTTAATTATATCAGGGCATTTTGGTCATTTTGTCCATTTCCGTTAAGTTTAACGGATTCCGTCACCTTTACAATTTAGTTCAAAGCATGAGGGGTCGTGTTGTATATTTTGAAATCATGGGGAACTTTTCTGTGTATTAGGTTTACCACAGGAGGCTTTTTATTTTTTACCCTTTTTTTTTTTTTTAAGGATACAATTCTGCTTGAATTGAGTCGAACCCTTACAGGGAAGTTTTCTCAACATTAATTGTCCTTGGATGCTGGTTACATATCAAGCTAATTTGGTCTGAAATAGGGGTGAGGGCTTAAATAGGAATCTCGCGTTGTAATTAATTAAATTGGATATAGGGACAACATCATGTTATAATTTGAAAATATGTGATATTTTAGCTATTAATCAAATTTTAACGACACCATAAACTTTTTTATATTAACAAAAGAAACAATTTGCTATTGTCAGCTTATTCTCATTTTCTGTAGATTTTGTAAAAAAGGCTTATAAGAAGCTATTAGAGTAGGGTGACCAGCTAAAGTTACTTTACGGTAGTTTTAGACATTATAACAATTTTTTACTACTAAAAAAATCTAAATTTTAGACATAAAACCCAAAATAATGACTTTCAAATAAAGAAATAGTTTGTTTAAAAAAAATGTTTCATGCTTCACACGACCTACGGTTTAGAGTACATTAAGTTTGCCTTTGACGTATTTGACTTTATACAATTTTTTTTTTTTTTATCTATTATCACCGTCTACACCCGCTTTGGCTCCTATTCCTAATTTTATTTTAACCTATATAGTTCATTGTCTTACGTTGGTTATTGGGCCCGAGGGAGGACGAGGAGGGGATGGGTGGTGGGGACTGCCGGGCAGATGGCGCAACGGATTTTCTGTCCCACACCTTGTACCACTTTCTGTCCTATTTTTTATTATATCGCTATTTCTCCTACATAAATATCATGTTTTAGTTCTTTTTTGTTTCCTTAAGATCCAATAACTATTAATTGAGTAAAAAATAAATACAGCAGCTTCAAAAAAGCAATATATAATAGAAAATTTAAAAATATAGCAAAAAATTCATAAAAAATCTCATTTTTTTATGCATTTTGATTTTTTGAATTTGTTAAATTTTAATTTTTACTTAATTAATAGTTATTGGATCTTAAGGAAATAAAAAAGAACTAAAATATGATATTTATGAAGAAGAAATATTAATATAATAAAAAATAGAACAGAGTCTGACACTGTGAGACAGAAGATTCATTGCGGTGGATAGACGGAGGCATTGCACAGCACAGGGCGCAGAAGGACTTAGAGGTGATTGGTTGTCCATTGGAAAAGGCCCCACCATAGCAGCCACTTGGCAATCGGACAGACAACCAAAACCTGTTGCCACTTTCTATGTTAACGGTTAAATTGAATAACAGCTAGTAGACCGTCGTATTAGTCCTAACTCCTTCCAACTTATCGTTTCGAAAAAAAGAAAAAAAAGTATTGGTACTAACTGCTAACTCCTAAGCGATCTTCGCTTTCTCCGATCTTCCCTCCCTCATTATTCACTCCTCTGTCACTCTTCTTATGTTCAGAAAACATATCCCAAGCTTAGCTCCAAATTGCACCTACTCAATCCGGCAGCTCCAACATTCAAAACAATTATCCTATTAGCTAGTATTTAATTTACAACAATTTCACATCGATTAATCCAAAGCCTAAACCACCATATTCCCTCAGGGGCCATCAATTTTAACGCTTACAGTAATTTAATTTGTTGCAGCTCAGCTCAAGTTCTTGAGATCAACTCAAAATTTTGCCTTGCGCCCTCTTTTCTTTTCTCCGTTATTTGAATATATGGCTCTTCATTCTGCTGCTTTATGCTTCAACAACATTTCTTGCAATCCTCAAACTTCTGGGGCCTTTCGGCAGCTCTCTGCTCCCTCATTTTTCCGCCCCTTTACTGTTAAGGCTTCAGGTTTTTCTTCACCATCACCGGTTGCCCTTCCGCGATTTAAGCTTCAAGGTATTGCTTTGTTTTCCCCACTGGAATCGATTACTTAATTTGCTATGCAGGATCAACTCAATTAAGTGCTTTTTTTCCACCTCGATTTTGCTCTCCATATTTCGCAGAACACCTTCACTAGACTTGTGCTTTGATACTATCGTTATGGAAAGCAATCAATAGGGCAAAAACTAAGAAAAAGTCACATGAATTATGTGAATCGCAGTTCTAGTGTGGTGCCCTGCATGCTGCTACACCTGATTAAATAGGGAGAGATTGATTAATCAATAATAATACCTTACGTAGCTGTTGATAACTTGGCTTCAGCATTTAGCCGGTGGTTTAGGTTGGTAGTAGAAACAAGTTGTGTGACGATTAAACCTCTTCTCATTGCCTTTACAATGTCCAATTTTTAAACTAATTGGGACAATATATAGTCATTTACTAGGAACTAGAATCATCTAGTCTTTTAATTAATCAGATCAACCGTTCGAATGCCCTTCGTGGATTGAGTAGTTATTTTTAACTAACTTTGGTTAATGCTATTGAATATAGAATTAGTAGTTCTTATTTTTTGAATCCCCTAAGTTGCAACTCCATTAGGTAAAGCATTGCCAATTGATAATGGGGCACCCGAAAAGGATGAGTCGTCCCTTGTGGTTTGCTTTGGGGAATTGTTAATTGATTTTGTCCCGACTGCAAGTGGTCTCTCATTAGCTGAAGCACCTGCATTCAAAAAGGCTCCTGGTGGTGCACCCGCTAATGTTGCTGTTGGCATTGCTCGCCTTGGTGGTTCATCAGCTTTCATTGGGAAGGTGTGACACCTCTGTACTCTGTTAGCCGTTGTTGATTATCATATACCTTCAAAATTATGAACTTATAATGTTACTACTGACTTATTGAAGGAAGCTTCCAAAAAATTTACATGTTCTCATGAAAAATTCTGTTTTTCTGGTCAATGTTTTAATGGCCCATCCACAGGTTGGGGAAGATGAATTTGGATACATGCTTGCTGATATTTTGAAGGAGAACAATGTCAATAATGAAGGGATGCGCTTTGATCCTGGTGCTCGAACTGCTTTGGCATTTGTAACCCTAAGAAAGGATGGGGAGCGTGAATTCATGTTTTACCGCAATCCTAGTGCTGATATGCTGCTTCAAGAGACTGAGCTCGATCTTGACTTAATTAGGAAGGTATACATTACTATCTATGTAGAGATGTTGAAGCAAACTAATTATGGCCAAAAAGATGATCTCCACAATACATGATACTGGTGTATGTAGTATCTGACTTGTGATTATGACCTAAGGCTTGGTGGTTTGTTGACTTTTAAAAGTAAGTAGCACCAAAAATTTAGCTAGTCCATCATCTCTATTTTCACGCTTTTGCATCTGTTACTGTATAGTTTGTGCCATGTCATGATTGTAGAGATCCTTTCTTATTTAAGTCTTTTGCAGGCTTGCAGCCCTTTTTGTTGTAGCATTTGCAGTTTCTGGAAATAGTTACCACCTACAGCTTAGATTTACCGATATTTATTTTGATAGGTGACTTAAATCATGACATTGCTTGTTATCTATGACAGGCAAAAATATTTCATTATGGTTCTATAAGCTTGATTACAGAACCATGCAAATCAGCGCACCTTGCAGCTGCAAAAGCTGCAAAGGATGCTGGGGCAATTTTGTCTTATGACCCAAATCTAAGGCTACCACTGTGGCCATCTGCAGAAAGTGCAAGAGAAGGGATCTTAAGCATATGGGAGACTGCTGATGTGATTAAGGTATACCTCCTCCTAATTTTATTATCTTCAAGAGTCTGTGTTATCTGTTGGTGTACATGCTGAAACAACAGTCTTTTTGCAATTTCAAAATGTCGATATCTATTTCATTTTTGGGTTGACATTGATCACCAGATAAATGAGAATGAGATTTCATTTCTGACCCAAGGGGAAGATCCATATGATGATTCTGTAGTTCGTAAATTGTATCATCCTGACCTCAAGTTACTCCTTGTCACTGAAGGCTCAGAAGGATGCAGATATTACACTAAGGTGAGCTTGTAAATTTTTCAATCCCTCCCTACTTGTTTCTATGTTTCCAGCTGCGCATGTAGCAGGTATGAAAAACATTCTATGCTAGTTTAAAAGAAAAATATTAGGCATTTGTGGAGTATCATTTATTATTCTAAAATTCTTAAAACCGCTAGACTCCAGGAGTTAAAGATCTTAAACTTGCTGAACTTTTTAGATTGTAGTTCAAGATTTGAACCATAAATGTCTATTTCACAGGACAATAAAATCCTTTGTGTTTTCTTTATACGATGTTTCATAGACCATTAATCTGTGGATGCTTTTATTCTTCCTAAATGTTATCAGGGGCACTTGATGCATAGCTATTACATATTTGAGGATATGGTTTCTTCTTTGAACTACAAATTTAGAAGCTGCTAACACAAAAAGTGCATGTTAAAAAAATGTTCAGAATTTTCTGAATTTCAATGCCAATGTTGGCTTACAAGTCATGATATTGTTTATTGTTAAAGAATAGGTGTAAATCAAACACTTCTTGGTGATTGACTTCTACAGGAGTTCAATGGAAGAGTTAAAGGTTTGAAAGTGGAAGCTGTGGACACAACAGGTGCTGGAGATGCCTTTGTGGCTGGAACTTTATCACAACTAGCAACTGACATATCACTGCTTGAGGTATTATCTTTCAGGAAGGCACTTCTCCTGCTGATAGTCTCAAAATTGTTTTTCTTTACATTGTCTATGATTTTCAGTTTCCATCTTTTCTCTCTTCAACATTTTTCTTGATGACATACCTTAAATGATAATTAAATTGATGTTAAATGTCAACAGTTAAGAAGGCTTGAAAACGTCTTTTTGAAGTGAACAAAGCTGCAATTTTGAGGAAAAAAGTTACAAAATCCCAAGTCTGTTCGGTTTTAGCCTTGTCCCATACATAAGGGGATTTCATCTTTTATAGGGTGGAAATAATGGTTGAGGACCTAAATTCTTTAAGCTGTTTTTGTTGTTTCTCTCATAAATTTCAATTGAAATAAAGCATTTCTAGAGCTCGATGCTTGACCTTGATTTGACAGCAGTTCTGATTTAGATGATCTTGTATCTTTATCTCTTATATATACTTCAATTACCTTATCTCTATCTGCTTTGGAAAGTGATGATAAACTATGAAACCTTTTACAGGATGAGGCCCGACTTAGAGATGCTCTCAGGTTTGCTAATGCATGTGGTGCCTTGACTGTCACAGAGAGAGGTGCAATCCCTGCTTTGCCAAGCAGAGAAGCTGTGCTGGATGTCCTCCTTAAAGCTGTAGTGTAGCTGGTCATTTAATGTTATCTGCAACTGTTTAACCACATTCAGCAGTCTTTGTCTGTTTGTAAGGTCTCATCACCATTTGCTTTCACACACATAATTGTGAACGAGCACATTTGTTGAGTCCAGGTAGGCCAGAATTCTCAAGTATAGATGAACTCTGTTTTTTCTATCTAGTAGTTATGGAAGTGGAGGTTCAGATCAGCTCCAATTTGACAGAAAATTTTGTACAATATATTGCTGCCAGTTTGGCAGGTTTCGACAATAACAGGGCCTGGTGTATTAGTCTTATTACAAGTCTTGATTGGCAATAAAAGGTTCCATGTTCTTGCTGAATATTATTCTCAGTTGAACTCTTGAGTAGTGTTATATCAGTTACAACATTTGAGAATGGACTGTTATACCTTTGATCTTTTTGAGTCTTGACATTTTACTTGTACTTGGTTCTGATTGACTACACAGAGTTGTGTCGTGGGAAGTGAAAAGTGGCATTAGCTTCATTAAAAGATTTCTTCAGTTTTAACCAAGAACAGGAAAAGTCAACCTGTTGTTTGACCCCAGCCTGAGATGGACAAAAGATAAAGAGCTTTTATACGCTTTCAGCACAAATCTTCAGAACTTCAAAAATTGTCGAAGACGTAGCCAAGTAGGCATTAGAAGTCCAATAAAACCTCTATAAATTAATAAGGTTAGGACCATACAAAATTGGTACTTACAATTCAAAGAAACATTTATTTAATTAACTAAAGTTTTATTTTATTTTACAAAAATATGAATTATTCTATTAATAAAAGGAGGCAAAAAGTTTAAGAAATACAAATAATCTTTATCTACTTGATTTGCAAGTATAATTTAACTCTATTAATGTTTTCAATATAATTTAACTAACACGTAATTGACGTCATTTTTTTTGAGGTCAGGTTAAAAAAGATTTAGAAATACAAAATGATGGATGCCTATATTTATTTCATTAAATGCATACAATGAATCAAATTAACAATAATACATATATAAATGATAAAAAGGTTTTCTTATAATAAGCAAACACAAAACCTTCTTACATATCTCACTATGGTTTTTTTTTTTTTTTTTTTTATCTCACTATGGTTTCTATATCGAAAGTGTTCATAATTGAACTATGACTAATCAAATGCTAAACCACATAAATCGATCAAATGCTAAATTATTATGCGAGTATAGTGAAGAGCATCACATCACATACACCATAAATAACTATAATAATGGGTTTCTAAAAAAATAAATAACAATAGGCTCATATTAAGATATGATATGTCATTTTAGCGAATTATTAATTTATGATATAAATGGGATCAAAGGTTATGTAAGGTTTTCAAAAAAATTGTTATCTTATTAGTTTAATAAAATTACTAATTTAGCTCATTAGCCCAAATTGGGATTGAGAAAACTATTATTTAAATGTCTGCAATTCAAGTTTATAAAGATTTTTCGGTAAATTTATCGAGTATAAATTTATAGGGATTTTTTTTTTTTTGTAAATTTTTATTATTATAATTCAACAATATCATTTCTATTATTTAAATGTCTACAATTGAAGTTTATAAAGATTTTTCTGTAAATTTATCGAGTATAAATTTATAGAGATTTTCTGTAAATGTCTACAAATTAAAGTTGATAATTCTAATTCAACAATATATCATTTCTGTAGATGACATATCACATACGAATTGTACTCTTCCGTGTCAAGAAGCAGCAGCAAAACCAAAATTATGTTAATAACAAATTTGAGGCAGCAGATCCCGTCTCCCCGAGAGCTAAAGAAAAATTTTCGGTAAGACCGCTGAAACAGAGCTCTTTTAGTGGTGAAGCCGATTGGAAAGCTTCTTCCCAACCCGAAAGACAAGGATGACCATATCCTTCCCGTACAATATCCACTCTATAAATGTCCGCATTCTGGTATTTTTCTAGATGCCAAACAACTTGTCATTCTAACCTAATCACCCTCGCGACCAAAATGGCTGATGATGCACAGGACCAGGCTGACCGAGAGAAAATTTTCAAGCGTTTTGATGCTAATGGTGATGGACAAATTTCTGCGGCGGAGCTTGGGGATGCCCTGAAGGCTCTGGGCTGTGTCACAGGAGACGAAGTCAAGCGTATGATGGATGAAATTGATACTGATGGCGATGGCTTCATTTCCAAAGAGGAGTTCACAAGTTTCGCATTGGCCAATAGGGGTTTAATCAAAGATGTTGCCAAGATATTCTAGTCTCCCTTCCCTTTTTCGTTCTGCCATCTCATGCAGATTTCAGTAAATTTTTTTTTTTTCTCTTCATAGTTTTCTGACTTGGCTCAATTCGTCCATGTCATAGACTTGGGTATTTACAAGTGCAATTCGTCCAGTAGTTAAGCTGTAACGTGAATTTTGTGTTATCTAACTACCTGCTCAATACAAAATTCATAACTATCAGTTTTGCCGAGTTTTTCAGAGCAAGAACTAAAAGAATATGGGGCAGCCTGCGAGCTGCGATCCCAGTTGCATATATTAATTCAAACCACGTGGTTAGCAGCTTGGCATCAGGCTTTGTTTTGTGGAATCTGTTTCTTTCCCATGTGGAAGTCTTTCTTAAATGGTAAACCAATTGCCGGGCAGTTGACCATATTTTGGCCTTCGTAACTACCTTTCTAATTGTTAATTGTCTCTCCTCTCAACATACCAAAACCTGAAATTGATCGATCAACGTGCTCTGACCATGCAGCTGGAGCTTAGGCGACTATTGCGAAAATGCAGAACTTAGGAGATGGAATTTGAGCGGATTAGGCGAACAAGTTAATATCAGTAAACATTAATTCAGCCTTGTTAGGTGATATAGAAAACCAAATGTTGTTAAGCTGTTGACATCTCTGAGTATGCCCACGATGTTGACGGTTCCAAGGGAAGGACACGCATTGCTAGTGTCCTACTAAGAGAATGAAAAGTAAAAGGAAATTAGGGCTGTTCTTTTTCTTTTTTTTTTTTTATTTTTATGCCAAAGAAAGTTTGAATAGATTCGACTCCTATCATCCCTATATGGTTAAAGCATGTCCCGGAAATTAGGGCATTTCTTTTTCAAGGGATAATTTCAGAAACCTCTCATGAGGTTTGTAATGATAGCAGTTACCGCTCTTGAGGTTTGAAAAATTACAGAAACTCTCCCTAGAAAGTATGTTTTGGTAACAAATGATGTTATACGTATAAAAAAAAGTCTAACGAATTGCCCCCTATTTGATTTACAAAACAAATTAAACGACAATAGAAATCAAATATCAACATTACTTGCTCAGTAAGAAATTTAATTTAGTTCTTTGCAGAAAAATTAAAGTTATTTTTCAAGGCATCATTTCTAAATGTCTGAACCTTTTTAACCTTTGCTAAGTAAGTTGAGAAGAAATTATTTTTAACAAATGCATCCGTACTGATAGGTTATTTATAAATCTAAGCAAGAAGTCCATTTAAATGACCCAAGAATTGAATATAATGTATTAGGTGAGATGAGGTTAGAATTTTTGAATAAAAAAATATTTGCAAAATACAGCTTTGTTTTTTCTTTATGCCTACTTTTCACTTAAGATTGGTAGAGTCGTCAAGCTGTTATAGTCTTTTCACAACACCAAGGGCGATAAATGTAATTTTTCAAACTTTAAGGGAAGTGACTGCAATTGTTAAAAATCTTAGGGGAGGTTTATGAAACTACCCCCTTTTTTAAAATTGAATGACCTTGTTGCATAGAACAGACCAGGCATGAGCACCTTGCAAAAGCTAGGTCTCCGGTCTCACACAAAAGTTGCAGTCTACGCGTGCAAAGAAACATCATATATCCCTTTGAAAGCAATATATATACACAGACACACACTCATAGCTCATCAGACGGTGCCATTTCTATACACAATGTTAAGATAACTAATCAGTTCTAAGCCTAAAAAGTCTCTTTAAGCAATCCATCAAATCAAATCCTACACTAGATGTTATCACTGCTGCGCTGCATATCACCTGCAGTGCAGATGATCATCTTCCTCAAACTCTGAAACTCCAAGCATAGCTAAAGCTAAATGACTCTTCATTTCACTTTTTGTCTGCTGCAATTGAGAGTAACAGTCACCGACAAAATTGTTAGCCGCCGAAGTAGCTTTCTTTCTGTTTAAGCTATTGGACTTTGCTCCTCTTAATATTGCAACAATGTCATCAATGCTGGGCCTGCGGGATTCTTCGCTGTTTACGCATGCATTCGCTGCTTGAACCATCTGGGATATGCGATTCGCGTATTTGTGAGTGAACTTGAGTCGAGGATCCAGCAACTTTTCTAGGGGCCCTTGTTGCGCTAATGGTTTTGCCTGGAAGAAGGGCGAAAAGGAACCTTCAGTTATCCATTTCTACTGGAATAAGAAATAGTGAGGAAAAAATCTAAGAAAATAGGAACAACAAAGAGTTGAAACTTATTTGCTTTCTCCCCTCGTCCAAATTCACTGCGTTTGTTGACCTTGCACCTAACATTCCTTGGCATACACGCCCAACAGACATGCTGATCAAATCTTGACAATACCCAATAGTTATTACAGAGGGACCAATTACCTATTTAGCAAGGTTTCACTTAGTTTGAAAGATTAAAATCAAGGCAAACTATTATGATATCATATTATGTTTGTCGCCATGAGCAATCACTGCAGATGTAGATAATATGATTTGGAGTTGTTTTTAAAGAATCTGTGACCGAAACTGCTAAGATGCAAGAATGTTGTTTATCAGCACAATAAACACATCTATTCGAACCTAGGGAAGAAACAAACAAGACTAGGCATTTGTGATGTAAATCTAACCATTAGCAAGAATACTTGCGATCATATCCCCAGAAAATGATTGATTGACCGAACTGGACATTATGGTGCACCATCAACAATCTACTTAAAAATGTGGTGAAATATGTGCTATCTTCAGTGCATCTATAATTATTAGACAAAGAGAATAGCAGGCTGTGTAGCAGATTAGGCGGTAAATGAATTGATGGCCTACCCATAAAACCAAATTTTCTTCTCCGGGTCCTCTTTTTGCCTCGATAGGTTTCCTGCCGGTGATGAGTTCCAAAAGGACAACCCCAAAGGCATATACATCGGTCTTATCAGAGACCTTGCCGTGCTGAAAATACTCGGGTGCTAAATATCTGTCATTAGTCCGTCCATGAAAAAAGTCAGTCCGAGTCACATATTCCTATTTGTCAACACTTACTCATCAGTTTTTCTGATATAATTCATACCCGAATGTTCCTTTCACAGTCTTGCAGAGGAAGGGCAAGGAGGGTGCAGGAGTCCACGTAGCTAATCCAAAGTCACACAACTGCGTACATCACAGTAGAGGATTAGAATAGCACAGCATTATTGAATAGAAATAGTAATAAAACCCATTAGGTCCAACTAAATGGCTAAACAGACAATTTTAAAAAAAAAAGTTACAGTTGGAAGGTGACCAAAGATCAGCAAAATGAAATTTCTTCCTAGTTCCTACCTTAGGTGTCTTCCTGGAAGTAAGAAGGATGTTTGAGGGCTTGATGTCCCTATGAACAATACATCTTTCTGTCCCATTATGTAAATAACTAATTGCCTCTGCAATACCAACAGCAACCCTGTATCTAGCAGACCATGGAAGTGCCGGACCACCCCTCACTCCCCTTTTCTTTTCTGCAAACAAATTTCTCCAAATCAGACAAGAAACTTCACCATAAATTGAGCCCGCGTTTGAGATAAAAGGACAAGAAATCATACCATGTAAATATCGCTCCAAGCTTCCCCCAGACACATATTTGTAGACCAAATACAGACCCTCCTCAGGATCAATGCAAAAACCCACAAGAGGAACAATGTAAGGGTTGTGGAGAGAACTAGCAATCATCAATTCCCTGCAAAATGCCTTTGAAGATTCCTTGTCTTCCTTATCCAACCGCTTAATTGCCACAGCAGTCCTCAAAAGTCCAACTCTTCCTCTAAAAACACAGCTCAATGCACCTCTGCCCAAAACTCTACCTAAACAAAAAACAAACGCAACAAGATCAGTCAAAATCACAAGCACATTAATCAAAACAAAAACTGACAAAAGGAATTCGATTAAAAGTTCACCACTTTTAAGTACCTGTAGAAAAATTGCAAGTTGCATAAACGATTTCGGCATAGCTGAACCTAATCAAATAATGTGCCACAGGAGAAATGCTCCTTTCAAGGGACTCAATTCTCTTCCACTTTAACTCTCTAGACTTGGAATCAATCACCCCATTATCCAAATTCACCATCAAAACAGTAGCAGAAGAAGACTTGTTCATCACATTCATTGATTCAAGCTCAACTTGAGAACAAAAACTGAACCTGAAAGAGGAGTGCACTGACTGAGGCTCAGCACTATTCAACTCTGCCCGACAGCCACCAGACTCTGCAAGCAACCAAGCCTTATTATGCTCCAAACTGTTCCCACCCTTATCTTTCTCCTCCTCATCCTTGCCGGAACCTCGCCGCCGGTGAGGCGGAATGAAGCAACCCAAACCAAAATCCCAGATCATCTTATACAATAAAGATTTGATTTTTATCTCATCATCATCGTAGTAATCACAATATTTATCATCATCAGGGGCGGCCAAAGTCGAAGTCTTTGATGAAAATGAGTTGCGCAGAGGGACTATAGAGTTAGTGCAATTACTTCTTGAAAACACCACCATTTTGAGAGCGGATCTCAAAAAGTGCACAAAAACCCAGAATCCAAAAGGTTAGAAAGAATAAAGGAAGAGAGAGATGAGTGACGGACGTAGAAAAAAGTTGAAGCAACTTTGCTTCAAGGGTAGGAGAGAATTAACTCAACAAATGCAAAAACAAATTGTCTTGGGCAACTGGATTTACTATACTATTTAAGCATTAAAAAAAAGGGGGATTCCTTAATTTATCATGTTAGTAACGGGGGATGGTGAGAGATGGTCCCAATAGGCTCAAAAGTTAATGGCATTATACTAAAGAGCAAGAGATGTATGAATGAATGAATTGTCCAACCGAATAATGCAGCTGCTAGTAGGAGCAAAGAGAGAGAGGAGAGATTCTCGGTGTTAATGCTTAACAAGACAAACAGAACCCACGAAAGAGGGGGAGCTACGTTGCATAGCAAATATTAAAACAGGGGAGGCAGAGGAATGAGCACATGAGTAGATGGGACAAAGCCACCGTGGAGAATGGGATTATATCTAAATCCAAGAATTAATGTTAAGGGGTGAACAAATTATTACCTACCTTTTCTAGAGAAAGAGATGGGTATCATGGTCATATTCATAATAGTAATCTTGACGGGAAGGGGGAAGTTTGGCTTGGGTGTCAATGTGGGTTGAGATAATTGACAATAATTACTTGGGACATGGTAACATCAGATTATTTGATTCAATATCAGACCGAAGATGGCACCTGTAGTTTGGTGACCATC